AAATAAACCAGATAATTATCTGATTAGTAACTGCTCATATATATAAAAAAGTGATTTTTAAATGCTCTGTAGAGGAATTCTATTTATATGGGTTACTAGAAGAAAATAAAACTACACACGCATTTGTGTATATATATATATACACACACACACACACATATACATATGTTCAACATATGTTTGAAGACACAGTTTGTAATCATATATCTTGAAGGTTTTAAGAGTCTATTAAAATCTTTACTAAAATTCTGCCACAGACTGAATGCCAGAGAATTAGAGAAAAATGAAAGCTACCCCACAGCATACAAGTCCACACTAACCACACTCAACACGGCCTCACATGCACTCTGGGAATAATTCAACTCCTGGGTTTCGCTGCAGCACTGGCCTGGTGTGCAGGTGGAGTGTGTGACCACCTGCAGGGTACCTACGGTCTCTGCGTCACCGTAGAAGGCGGCCAGGTCCAAGGGAGTGCGGCCATTCTTGTCCGTCTGGTCTATCTCGGCTCCTTCCTCAACCAGAAACTGGACCACTGCCCTGTGACCCTTCAGACAAGCCCAGCTTAATGCTGACAGTCCCTCTTTGTCCAGAGAAGAAAGGGCAGCACCTGAAAGAAAAGCCCATTCGCAAAATATGAGCTCGGTAAGACAAAGCCCAGAAGCCAATCGATTCACATCTGCAAACACCTGGCCTGACTGGTGGCAATCAAGCCTGTGATATCTGAAGCTGGCAAAATGGTCACCACTGCTGAAGCTGAGTAATAGGTATATATGTCTACTACCTATTCTTTCTACTTGTGTGTGAATCAGAGAATGTCCGTAACAAGAAGACTTTTCAAACTTGAATTGAAAAGCACTGCCAGTGGGTCTACCAAAGCTCTTTTCTTTGTCCATTCCGAAGAAACCTCTGCAGGGGCTCCCATGCTGCTACCTTTTGAAAGGAGAAATTCCACGGTGCTCAAGTGTCCTTCACAAGCGGCCACCATGAGGGGCGTCCGGCCCTGCTTGTCACTTAGGCTCACATCACAGCCACGGTCCAAAAGTAATCTAACGATCTGAAAGAAACATTGGAATTAAAATCTCCCTGCCCCACTTTCAATCTTGTGCTCTCTACCCAGGCAGGTTTTCCACACTTAAAAGCAATAAAGGATTCCTTCTTCAAATGCCTCCCTACACTGTGTGATTTGTAGGGCCCGTGCCATCTTTCCATTGTATTCCTTTGAACAGAATCTTCTTCCAAATATGTACTTTTTTTCACATACTCAATTGCTATAGCTGTAAAACATGCACATACAAGGCATGAACAGTAGTAACGTGGAGAAGGGGAGATACCAGTCACAATCAAGTCATGACCAGACAGCCACAATGTGGCTTATGGGATCACTGGGCAGAACTAAAGGAAGGGGCAAAGGTCCTGGGTCCCAGGGTGATGATCCTGCAGCTACACTCCCATAGGAGGGTGGGGACTGCAGGAAAGCATTCACCCACCACACCCCCAAGCAATCTGCTTTTCTAAGCCTCCTGGCTTAGTGGATGGCTTGACCTTCACAGAAGACAATTTTTAGCAAAGCTTCCTGGAAGACATTCCCAGCCTCAGCTCTGTACCTTCAACCAGTGCATGGCAATAAGACTGGGGAACACAAACAAAAAACCAGAGAGGTGTCTCCTACAAATACCATCACAGTGAGTGCCCTCTGGCACAGCATTAGTTATATGGCGACAACAGAAGGTGGAGTATTCCCATTGCTTTCTTGTTCTTAAGACACTGACAGATGCTTTCCAAACCTCCCCATGACTTAGGAAGTACTGAGACCAGGAGAGAGGATTAGCTAGGGCATCAGATAGACATTATGAGGAGGACAGGATGCAGATGGTATGAACCAAGCTCTTGGAAATGGAACTGAAAAGCCAATCTTGGTGGAGAGCACTGGTAGCTCCTAACAATTGCACTAGCATCATGATTCCGTGATGTAAACTTGGGTCTAGAAAATTCTTCCTATAATGTATGTAGTAAGATCCATTTGTGTGCATCTTGAATGTAACCTCATACCAGGCATGGGGTGGGTACGTGGCTACTATTTGCAAAATGAATAAATGAATAAATGACTGTTCTCGAAGATCTCCTATGCCCCTCAATTAGAGGCAATGGGCCACTCCTCACAAAAGAAACCAGGCTGAATCACAGTCCTAGACCAGAGAGAAAACGTTTCCTTTTCTAAAGAGCACAAGAGAACCACTCTTCTTCCAAGTGTGCTGGACAAATGGGTCACAAAATCACGACAACAAGTATGTTACAGCAAGTCTTCAGTTCTCATGACAGAAAACTAACCCTCCCTGGTTAAAAGGAGGCAGCCGCTGGTCTCCCCTGGTCACCAGCCTTGCTCTCAGTTAGGTTACCAGCCTACAATGGCTGACTGCGCTAGCCCGTCAAATGTTGGTGGTTATCGAGTAGAACTGACAGCACAAGCAGCAGCCAAGAATGTGAAAAAGACAGGGTCAGGGGAGCCGCATGTGACCCCTGGGGAGATGGGCGCTAGTGAGCTCTATCCCACCCATGGTTTCTAAAGCCTTCGGGGGCCCACCGGGTACCTGCCAATGCCCCTGGCGTGCTGCACAAAACAAAGGTGGGACTCCTCTCCTGTTAGTCTGAGACACAGCAGCTCCGTGCTCCAGCAGCAGCTCGCACACCTCCAGCTTCCCTCTTCCAGCAGCAGCAGTCAGGGCTGAAGGAAGGTCACAGGGCAGAGGGAGTCTGTTAGTGTGTGGTAGCTGAAGGGGGCCACAGATTCTTGGATAGTCCTCCCACTGCCAGGAAGGCGGTTCTGCACCCTTCCCTGCGTCCCTGGATCTGGGTGGGCTCTGTGACAGTTCTGACCAATGCAACACAGAAGGAATGACGACATGCCAGTGTCTGGGCCAGGTCCTGAGATGGGGAACTTCTAGTTCTCCTCGGAACACTCATTCTTGGAACCAGCTGCCATGGTGGGAGGAAACCCAAGTGGCCCTGTGGTGACACTCACAGGGAGAAGCACCCAGGCCTGTGTGTGGTTGACAGTCCCAGGTGAGCTCCCAGCAGCCAGCCAGCAACAAACTGGCAAGCATGGGTGTGCACCATCCTGATAACGGATCCCCAGAGTCTCGCTGCACCAGGTAAAGCAGGTGAGCAGAGGTGAACCATCCCTACCAAGCCCAGTCTACACTGTAGATTCAGGAGCCACTATGTTTTTATTTCATTGTCTTGTTTTGCTTTTTTTGTCCCTCCACCCACAGCAAGAGATAATCAGAATATAGTGCAACACACACACACACACACACACACACACAATCAGTAGTATTATCCAGTCCAGCCTCTTACCTTAAAGTCATAAATTTCAATCAGCAAGAACTAGTAATTACTGAGGCAGTCAAGGGCATATCAACTCATTCCTGTCTATACAGAGCTTAGAATCTCTATAACCAGTCAAGATGCTGGATTAAGAATGTCAAGAAAGCAAGAAAAGGGAATCTGATTGTTGGGGGCCTCGAGTGCTCAGGTAAATAGCCTAGTGCGATACTGAGCAGCAAGTGGCCGCTGGTAGTAGTGATGTTCTAGGAAAGTCAGCCAAGGATAAAACAAAAATAGAATGGAGGGAAAGAGAATACATTGGAAAGGTTCTCATGATGCCCCCACTTCAGTAACTATGCCTCCTCACCCCTGTCCCAGGCCATGATTCCTGATGAAGAGTAGTAAAAAGAGGGGTTTAATTGGATGAGGGTCCTCTGCTATGTCACATGAATGATCATCTAGAGGAAAGGATAGTCACAGATTCCAGGGACGATCCCAAGTCAGGACAACAAGACAAGTTTCAGTGGAGGACAGGACAGGAAGGCGCTGGGGAGGAACGACACCTCAGGAGGGAGCACTGACAATGCAGATGAGGAAGGAGAAGGTTGAGTGTGGTAATGTGGCTCTATTCCTGCTGCCTGCCTAAGACAACGTTGTCTCAGCCTCACACTTACACATGCCTGGCTTCCAGAACAGATCCAGTGTTGCTACAAATCAGTAAGACCTCTCAGTATGAAAATCAGGGAAACACAGTACAAGGCCCTTCACCAAAGGTGAAGTCCAAGTGATAATGAACTTATGAAAAGTACCCAGCCTCATCAGCAATCCAAGTAATTGAGAAATGGATACGCTCACACACACTGCTGGTTGGAGTAAAGATATCCACATCCCATCACACAGCAACCCCACTTGCAGACACGTGCCTGGAGATGCCCTTCTAGGGCACTGAGAGATGTAGTGACAACAGCCACAACTGAAAGCAGTTCACATGGCCATCAACAGTGGGGTGCACCGAAGTACGGCGCAGCCCAACAATGGAACACCGTACAGCAAGAATGACAAACGCCACACCACTGAAGGCAACACAAGGCACCAGTATCACAAACTTGTCATCAGTTCAAAGAAACAACACACAAAGGAACATGTATGGTGACTTGGTCATACGTAGCACACATACCCCACCGCCGCAGGCACCTCCTTTTAGAGGGCAGCCTGGCTCCACTGCAGACCGCAGGGTCTGTGTCCCATTCTCCTGGGCACCTAAGGGAGTCAGGCCTAGGGGAGCCAAGTGCTTACAAACCCTGCTTTCTACATGCACATCTCCATCCTTCTGTCCTCCTCAGACCCCTCTCAGGACAGACAACCACACCTACTCCACCTCCAGTCAGCCTGACCACAGTTCAACCCCAGGAGCCACATGTGCACAAGCATGCGAACCTGACACCTGGGCCTGATCTGCCTGTGAGAAGAACAGTTCTTCCAAGAAACAAAGAAGTGTCCTCGGACTGTTCCCGAGACACAGTGCAGTGGGGCCAGAGACTTTGTTCACACAGAGGTGCCACAGCTGCTCAGCAGATCACCTGAGTTTCCCATCCATCCCAGGGACCTGTGCCCCAGGAAAGTGAGGAAGATGGCAGGACTCATGAACAAGTGAGCGAATGTGCCAGGCCGGGGCCCTAAAGATGTGAAGGTCAGGCTGTGGAAGATGATGTAGAAAGCAAGCCCTCTCCTTCCGGAAAGGCAGTGAGCTCTCACTTTGCTTCTGGCCCTAAGTCCCCTGAGGCAGAGAATGTGTCACCAGAGCAGCTTGTCACTGGGCAATCTTAATAATGCTTTCCTGTCATCATCCATCCATTCAAAGAATTTCTTACAACTCTAAGAAGGGCCACAGTTAGCAGCTGCCATCTGCACTGCTGATTTTCTCAAGACAGAGACAAGGGTCTCGACTGCAGGTGCCATTCTTACCTGGGTTACCCTAAGAGGCTCACTGCCACTGACCATACATCTAAACTCATAAGGAATTTGTAAACAAACACCATAAAGAGAACAGTATTTGTATCAGTTTTATATACTGATGCCCTGGGGTGGAGGTGAGGGTTCCCATACCCAGAGTATCTGAAAACCAGTGCCCAAGGGGATCCTGTCTATACTATAGAGTCTAAACTAGCAGGCCCTGGCCCCAGCTGTCCCAGGCATGCCCAAGATAGTCCGTTCCTGCCATGGTGTTAACGTTAATGATTCCTAAATAACACAAGCTTTGGGGCACTTTTTAAGAGTGTTATCTGGATGGATTGGAACACGACCAATGAGCGGTTCAAGAGATGGAAGTTCTGGGCAGTGAGACACCTCTTGGACCTGCTGACCTCTGTAAGCCTCCTCCAATTAGGGATCTCCTCCTCTACCCTCCTCTGGTCACAGCTGACCACTGCAAGGAAAGAATGAACGAAGGAGCAAATGAATGAATAAATCCACACACACACTGCAGGCAGGGTCATGGCCAGCAGATATGCAGGACAGCCTGGGAAGGAACAAACTCAAGGCACTTCTGTTTGATGAGGTCCTGAAGCAGCAGGGCCTCACTAACATTCCATTATCTTCTATTTAGTAAACAAGTTTCATCTGTATTGTAAATGGGGCCTTTAAATCCGGATGTCTGGTGCAGCTGCTACTGAATTTTTGCAACAGCAGCACATCAGAAATGACAGCCCAGCACTAAAAATAGGGCCGTGTGTTTTATGGAGGCGCCAGAGAAGCCAGAAGTTGGAGCAGCTGATGAGCGGATGAGAGCGCCACCCCAGGCCTGGCGACAGAGCTGGATTCCCTTCTCTTCCTTTACAGCCAGACCTGCTGTGCATTTGGTGATTAACTTCCTTTCGAGATAAAGCACCTATATGCACAGGCTGAAAGAGTGTCACACAGTCTGCTCTGGCCTAACACCACCCACGCTGTGCACATCAAGTCCTAATGAGGTGCTCTCCTTTTCAAGTGATGTAGGTCAATAGGACCTGTGTTTCCCTTTTTTGCTCCTGTGAATACTTTTGGCCTCATCACTCAAAACCCCTGAGGCTAGAGGGCACCTCAAGTTCCACCAGCCACAGATTTAAGGACACCAGATTGAGAAACAAGCAAGACTGAAGAACAGTCAACCACATGCTGAAACAAACAAAATCAGGCAAGACTCTGCTCAGGAATTCCAACTATTCTGCTGAAAAGGCTGACCTATGAGCTGACCACCAGACTCTAATGAGGGTCAGTGCACTCTGTGTGGCCAGAAGAAAAGAGGGGTGGGGGGAGACAGGAGGAGCGGGTGAGGCTCTGGCATTGGGGAAATGCCTGTCTTCTGGCCAAAGAAATTCGGAGACGAAAGTGCGAAAAGACCTGGCACGAAATGGAGACTCTAAAATCAATGTGAGTGAACACATGGCACTTTTTATGACTCAAATTGGACACAATTTCTTTTACTTGCAAATTCCTTAACAAGATGGCACTTTTCTAATTAAATTCCCATGAAAGCATAGATCGTTTTTGGAAGATTCTGAATAATTGTACCTCAGCAATACTGTCCTGTCTTCAGAACAGGAGATTTGTCACAGCAGACATTCCTGTTAAGAAGACCCAGTTGACACTCAATATTACGAGCTTCCTGAAAACATCAGTTAGATCTGGTTCTTTGTAAAATGGATCATTTCCAGGAATCTTTTACATATTCAAGTTCTCTGGGCAAAGGTCTGATTTACAAACACTCAATTGTCAACTTGCCAGGAACGCAGTCATTCCACAAACAGGGCTGTTTATAACATTTTATGGCAGATCTGTCACTCAAATACACAGGCACAGGATGGCTGGCTTGAGGGTTTTAACAATGGATCATTATCCCCCTCCTCAGATGTTTCTGTCCCTAATTTAGAGACCTTGAGAGAAGGGTGACAGGTCAGTGCACACAGTGGCGGCTCCCACTTCCAGACAGCGGCCTTTTCAGACACTCCTTACACATTGCCATGCCACCCTCCGAGGCCGGAGTGGAACACATGAGCCCAACCGTCTGCACCTGCAAAGGGGCAGTCATGCTGGCCCAGATGGCTGACAGAGGGACATGGGCAGAGTGGCTCTGCTTTGCTTATATATTTATGTTTACTGGTGCAATTTATTTCCTAATATATTGACTTTTCCTGTCTGTCACAAAAGTGAGTGGGAAAAAAAAAAAAAAAACCAAAGTGCCAACATTTATAATAAGCAGCAGGATTCTCATAAATGTCATCTAGTTGCAATCAAGATGGAAACCATTAGATGTGCCACAGGCAGTGATGTTTGAACCTCAGCTGGAGGCTCTCTGGACAAACCCCACCCAGCTGCAAAGGAGGAGAACAAAAGTAAAGAGTGTGCATGAAATGCTGGAAA